TTTCATTTCGCGGTAGACTAGCCTGAGGTGCGACACAGCCTGAGGCGCGACACTGAACTGAGGCCGCAGCGAAGTGCTTGGGAGAGACATACGAACATTTGGCATGAGCATCACAGCAAAGAGACAGGGCCATTTTTTCCATCTTGCCATGTGCGCAGACTGTGTCCATCAAGATTTCCTTCCTAGGAGCTAGGCATGACGACTTGGGACCTACCACCACTCAGATGTAGAAGAGGATGCGAGGTGGGCATCACGACTTGGGACCTTTCGCCGCTCAGATGTGGAAGAGTGCAGCATGGACCCTGCGCTTACCCACAGATTTTCACCACGGTGCCAGTAAACAGGCCGATCTTGCGCGTCATGAAGGCGCTACCGGGAGCACGGGATGCGTCGTGTCAGCGAGATACTTTATGGCGACGGGCTTCCAGTCACGTTTACGGATCCGTCCCAGACCTGGGGCACGCTTGAGGGTCAGCTTGGGCTGGAGGCGAAATAGTCGGAGGGATTTGGGAGGACGAGCCCCCCCCACTGTTCCCACTGCGGGTAACGCCCAGTCCAAGGGCGTCCTCCTCCTCTTCCTCACATCCTGTGTTCTCCTCGACGCCGCTCATGGCCTCGGCTTCCTCATCGACGTCCATCTCCTCCGCGAGCGACATGACGTCCGAGTTAGGAGTGGTGACCGGAACGGGCAATACAAGTGTCGAGACATGGACCGGGATCTTGGAGTAAAACGGTGGAGCCTTTTTCTCCGGTGAGTCCAGCTCGGAGGCGACTGCGAGAGGGGGCTTATTCTGGTCGAGGCTGTTGCTGCCTGCGAACGGGCATCTTTCATGCTCTTGCATTCCGCCTCGATCTGCTTGAACAAAAGGTTGTGGACGGGACGAGGACTTCCTGACGGGACGCCTCGGGGTCGCGTTCTCCACGAGCTTTGCTACCCAGACCCGTTCGCTCTGCACTTGCATGGAATGGTCGGGGGAAAAGAGGCGCGTGCCTTTATTAAAGGAGCCATAGAGCTTCTTGCCAGCATCAGTGAGGAACTCAGCCTTGCACGGGGTCCTCGTTGATGCCAGCTTTGCGGTAATACGCGTGAAGCTTGCTGTTCATGATAATGACCGACCTCTTCAGGACGGCATCCATGTGTGCACGCTTGACCTCTGGATTGAACGCTGGCTTGATGCTTCGGATGAAAGACTCACAGTCGATTTGAGGAATAAACTCGAAACTCATCAGGAAGCTCATCGGTTTCATAGGAGGTGTCTGCCAGATTCCTGGGCTCGTTTTGCGCCCACTTTACCGCCCCCTACCGTGCCCAGGCCGTGGACACGTAGAGCCCGGCATCCAGCACAGGCTTGGGCATTTTCGTGGTCAGACTGCTGATGGTGGAGTCGTCGAGGAAATCGCCCACGGTGATGCAGCCCTGCTCGCCTCTCAAGAAGTCAAGGGAATGGGCCAGTCGAATTCCTTCTTTGCGAGAGCGCCGTCGTCACTCAGATTTTGCAGGGCTTTCTCCACGAGGCTAGAAGGCCACTGATAGATCGGACTCTGCGGATAGTTCAGTTCAGCTGCTTGGTGGTCCATCGCAGCTGCTGCATCTCCGACGACGACGTCAGGGCCTCATGCTGAAGGAAATCAAACCCGGCATCAATTTCCTCATCAGTTTTATCCTCGAAGCGAGAAGCAGAAGATTTCCGTGATGCACGTGATTGCATTTCGAAGGTCTTGAATCTTGAACTGATGCCCACCGAGGCCTTCCAAGGTGTACTGCAAGGTTTTGCGGCCTGCTCTGGCATTGACGGCTCGCCAGCGATAGGTGAAGGCCTTGCCACACACGCCTGCCATGAAAATGCTGGACTTGCATTTCGAAGGAACGCAGAAGTTCTTAATAATATAAACTAACCCGTTCTGGCAGGGCCATATGAAGATTTGCAGCTTCGTGTCCTTGGGAAGTGTGCCTTACAAGCCGAAGGGTTCGGGAAGCAGCTTCAGGTCGCTGTTGACCATGGCCTGCTTGTATTGTGCCTCCAGATCATCATAGTTGATGTCGCCATCGTGGTTTTTGATGTTGAGCAAGTTGACACTGGGATTGTCACTACTGGCCATTTGTAAGAGCGGTAGGCTCAATGGATTGAAGATGCCGACGGGAAGGTCGAGCATCGACACACAAGAGGGTCGACACATGGAGCTCTTCGAACGTGAGATCTTCGGCTGCCGCGCTTGTAGGGTCAGAAAAACGATGGAGACACCGTGTGCAGTCTAGCTTGGACACTCAAACTAAACGACGTGCAAACAGACGAGTGCATTTCGGTTGCGCTGGCCAGGGACTGCTGTGCGACAAACACGCATCTTTTAGTTTTTGTTTTGGCATTTTTTTGTTTTTTGGTTTGGGGCAAGTCCCCCAATGTTTTTGGTTTTTCTTGCTCTTGGATTCGTGCGGGGTTGGTCTTGGGGGGGGTTAGTATATATATATATATATATATATCTGTTTCCCTATATACATACCTAAGTAGTCCGCAAATAACGCCTAAATAACCTCTACGGACCCTTATCAGGGTCCCTCCTTTGGCCCCTTGACAAATGCAAGGGTCTGCGCCCTGACGTGTCATGGGGAATCCTAAACCCCTAAACCTTAGCTAAACCCTAAACCCTAAACCCCAAACCCTAAACCTAAACCCTAAACCCTAAACCCTAAACCCTAAACCCTAAACCCTAAACCCTAAACCCTAAACCCAACAGCTTGGTGGCTGGAAGGCGAGCTGAAAGCCCAAAAAGAGAATGCTGAGGTTGCTTGTGGCTTTGATGACGGCTTATAGGGCTTAGGAGGCTTGTAGGCCTTATAGAGTTTATAGGGTTTGTAGAGTTTATAGGGTTTATGGGGTTTCTAGGGTTTGTAGGGTTTATAGGGCTTTCTAGGGCTTTCTAGGGCTTATAGGGTTTATAGGGTTTATAGGGTTTATAGGGTTTATAGGGTTTATAGGGTTTACCTTGAGCATATCTTTTGCCGAGCCGCTCCCGGGCATCACTGCCGGACCGGAGGGCATGCAGCTGCCTCACGCGAGGCCAACGCTATGGGCTGCGTAGGCTTCGGGTCTTGTTTCCGGGTTTAGGGTTTATAGGGTTTAGGGTTTAGGGTTTGGGGTTCGGGGTTTGGGGTTTAGGGTTTAGGGTTTAGGGTTTAGGGTTTAGGGTTTAGGGTTTAGGGCTTAGGGTTTAGGGTTTGGGGTTTAGGGGTTTTGTGTGACTTGAGGCCTCTACATATCCTTGGGCTGAAGCTCCGGATTTGGAGTATCCGCTACGAGGCCCTCGGGGGTGCAAAACGAAGAGAGTTTAGGGCTTAGTGTTTAGGTTTTAGGGTTTAGGGTTTTAAGGTTTAGGGTTTAGGGTTACCACAGCAGGACCCTTCACACCCCGAATCCTCGCTCAGACCTAGCTAAACTTGAGATTCTCCCACACTCCCCTCCCCACCCCCTCCCCACAACCCTAAACATCCTAACCGCGCCCAAACCCCCAACCCCCCGAGCCCTAAACCCTAAACCCTAAACCCTCAACCCTCAACCCTCAACCCCGAACCCTACCCCAGGCCTCCTCGCACTGTCGACTTCCGTTCGCAGGAGGCGCTCCGCCTGGGCCTCTTGCTGCCTGCGCAGTTTAGGGTTTAGGGTTTAGGGTTTAGGGTTTAGGGTTTGGGGTTTAGGGTTTAGGGTTTAGGGTTTAGGGTTTAGGGTTTAGGGTTTAGGGTTCCTGAAGCCCCGACGTCCTCACCGGTTTAGGGTTTAGGGTTTAGGGTTTAGGGTTTAGGGTTTAGGGTTTAGGGTTTAGGGTTTCGGATTTCGGGTTTAGGGTTTAGGGTTTAGGGCTTAAGGTTCAGCATCTCAAGTCCAAGCATTCACTAGTCAAGAAATTACTCCAGAAAAATACCACCCGCCCAAAGAATCCCACAACATTAAGAAAATATTTCACTTATGGAACGACCTTGCCCAGAAAAAAATGACCCTGCCCATTAAGAAAATGACCTTGCCCAGTAAAAGATGACCTTGCCCAGTAAAAAAATGACCTTGCCCAGTAACTCATTAACATTTACATTATATATGAAAGAGAGGCTTAGGGTTTAGGATTAGGGTTTAGGGTTTAGGGTTGAGGGTTTCGGGTTTAGGGTTTAGGGTTTAGGGTTTAGGGTTTAGGGTTCGGAAGCCTAGAGTCCTTAAAGCCTTTAGGGCCTCGTTCAGGTGTTTGGAGTTCAACGTGGTGTCTAAACCCTGAACCCTTGTGGCACCCTAAACCCTAAACCCTAAACCCTAGACCCTAAACCCTAGACCCTAAACCCTAAACCCCGCTCTTGGGGCCTTTCATGCATGTCGGCGGCGATCGCCACCTCAGCCTTGGGCATCGACAGCTCCTCCTTGGCAAGAACAAGAGGGTTTAGGGTTTAGGGTTTAGGGTTTAGGGTTTAGGGTTTAGGGTTTAGGGTTTAGGGTTTAGGGTTCAGGGTTCAGGGTTTAGGGTTTAGGGTTTAGGTTTTAGGGTTTAGGGTTTTGGATTGGGATGTTTCCCCCTTATACTAACAGTTCTTAATAGCGATTATGATAGGAGTACTAGAATCCCGATAAAGGACTGCTAGTATAAGGGGGAACATCCCAAAGTGGAGTTTCTATTAGTTGCTTAAGAAACCCCAAGCATGAGAAAAAAGACATCCCCTAATTCATGATTTGTGTTTTTTTTTTTTTTTTTGGGGGGGGGGGGGGTGTTAGGTGGTGTTAAGCAAGTAGTAGGTTTAAGGTGTTTCGGGCTTAAGGTGTAGATGAACTCTGAAGGTTTGGAGATTACACGGTTCAGGGTTTGGGGCTGCAGAGATCTCATTCGTGTTGAAGGTTGACGGTTTAGGATATTTAGAACAAGGAGCTGGGTACAGCAGAGGGACAAACCATATACGCTAACCCCTAAGCAGCCCCAGCACTACAAACCCTTCTTTTGTAAGGATTGCCGTAAACCGTAAACCGTAAACCCTAAACCCTAAACCCTAAGCTTGGCGAGGCAGGAACATCCAAAGGAGAAGCAGCCATCACCACCCTCGGAGCTTTCGGGGGAGGTCCCGACACTCGAGCCTTCTTTGAAACATGCTCCATTGGAGGCATAGCCGGGGACGGAGGCCCTGGGGGTTCGACATACCCCATCATTTTTCCCACAGGCACAGGCGGAGGAGGAGGCAGCATCTGTTCTGCCGGCAACTCGACACGCTGTCGGGCGATCATGGCATTCGCCTTCTCGATAGCAATCTTCACCAAATCGGCTGGTGACTGCACAGGAGATGCTGGCTCCAAGAGTCCTACAAAGGCCTCTTCCGGCATACCCGGTGCTCCGGGCAACAGGTAGTTGTGCGGAGTATTAGGGAACCTTGGGTTACATACACCCCCCCCTTGAACCCCTCTCGTAAGAACCCTATAATTACACCCTAAGCCCTATATCCTACCAGCACTCCCTAACGACCTTCAACCATAATATTAGGGTATCTAAGCCCGCTTTGTTCAAGGGTAGCTGGGCGGTGCAGGTGAACCCTCAAACTTATTCTTAAACTTAAACCGCTAGGTCCTCGAATTGCCCCCCCCCCCCCCCCAAGCAACCCAACCTAAACCCCAAACCCCAACAACAAAAAACCCAAAAACCCAAAACTCTAAACTCTAAACCATAAACCCTAAACCCCAAACCCTACATTGTGGCCCAAAGCCCCCAACAAGAACAAAAAGTTTCTACACCCGCGGAGTGCTCCTTGGGGGATAGGATTAGGGGGGCCCTTGGCGATATAGACCCTCTGAGTAAGGCCCCTAATTATTTAAGAGAGCCAGAAGAAGGTCAAGAAGGGTTCCCCTAAACCCTAAACCCTAAACCCTAAACCCTAAACCCTAAACCCTAAACCCTAAACCCTAAACCCTAAACCCTAAACCCTAAACCCTACACCCTAAACCCTAAACCCTAAACCCTAAACCCTAAACCCTACCCCGTTATCCTACTTAACTTAGGGCTCCTGCAGCTTGCGGATGCACAGCCGCTGCGCTTCCAACTCGGCCTGAAGAAGTCGGGGGGACCGAGGACCGGACCAGAGGACCGGAGGGTTTAGGGTTTAGGGTTTAGGGATGAACCGATCCCTGCCAGGCAGCCAAAATCACCAGGAACTCAGCAGGTATAGAAGCGGAATCATGTGGACCCTGGAACCCTAAGGACCATATTCCTGTACCTTTTGCAAGACTTTTTTCTATGCAAAGCTCTCCACCCGAAATTCTCCTAAAGCCCACAGCCGTAGAGACGCCAACGTTTTAATAGCGGCTGTAAGAGTTGGAACAGGGTTTTGAGATTTTGCCACCCCTAAACGCTAAACTCTGAACCCTGAACCCTGAACCCTAAACTGCCCTAAACCCTCAACCCCAAACCCTAGACCCTAAACCCTAAACCATAAGCAGCCCGCCTGGAAACTCTCCGCCTCTGCGGTGAAGGCCGCCTCCTCCGCCAGCGCATGAGGGAGGTCGGCGACCTGATGGGGTTCTTCAGGGAGGGTTTAGGGTTTAGGGTTTAGGGCTTAGGGCTTAGGGTTTAGGGTTTAGGGTTTAGGGTTTAGGGTTTAGGGTTTAGGGTTTGGGGTTTGGGGTTTGGGGTTCATGGGGGGTAGGTACCTAGGGAACCTTGGGGAAGCTTAGGGAGGTCAGGGAGTATTGGGGAACCTGGGGCTACATACCCCCCCTGAACCCCCCTCTCTTACGAACCCTGTAACTGATCCATGGGGTTTAGGGTTTAGGGTTTAGGGTTTAGGGTTTAGGGTTTAGGGTTTAGGGTTTAGGGTTTAGGGTTTAGGGTTTAGGGTTTAGGGTTTAGGGTGTAGGGTGTAGGGTTTAGGGTTTAGGGTTTAGGGTTTAGGTAGGCTTTGGGGCCGTAAGGGGTTATGGGTGTCGGTCGCTCAGGGGCTGAAGTAAGGGCGTAACTGCCTAGACAAAAACCCTCAGCCCTGTAAAAGGATCTAGAGTCCTGCACCTCAGCTTCCCCAGGCTTACCAGATCCACAAAGGGGGATTGCTGATTGGCTCCTATGGCTCTCCTACAGGCCCAGACACCAAAGTTCCTAAAGTCACAAAGCCCTGAAGCCCGAAAGCCTGAAACCCCCAAAACCTTAACCCTGAGCCCTTAAACCTTAAACCCTAGACCGCAAACTTTGCCTCCACACCCCAAACCCCTGAACCTTGAAACCTAAACCCTTATAGAAGCCCTTGAACCCTTAACCCAAAGTTTAAGCCTCCAAACCCTCAAGTTTGGAAACCCCAAACCCTAAACCGTTAAACCAGAAACCCCTAAAAATCCCCTAATTCCTCTAAAACCCCGAATTCCCCTAAAGCTCCTAACCCTAGAGCCCGAAGACCCGAAGCCCGAAGCCCTAAACCCTGAACCCTGAACCCCCCCTAAACCCTAAACCCTAAACCCTAAACCCTAAACCCTCAACCCTAAACCCTGAACCTTGAACCCTAAACCCTAAACCCTACACCCTAAACCCTAAACCCTAAACCTTCCTTCTTGCCGCGCAGTCGCCTGCACCTTCCACACCAGGAGCTCCTCGAGGAGCTGATTCGACGCGGTTCGGGCCTGAGCTTAGGGGTTTAGGGTTTAGGATTTAGGATTTATAGGGTCCAGGGTCTAGGGTTTAGGGTTTAGGGCTTAGGGTTTAGGGTTTAGGGTTTAGGGTTGAGGGTTGAGGGTTGAGGGTTGAGGGGTTGAGGGCGTTTGGGGGTTTAGGCATTGAGGGGTTTGGGGGTTTAGGCATTGAGGGGTTTGGGGGTTTAGGGTTGAGGGTTTAGGGCTTAGGGGTTGAGGGGTTTGGGGGTTTAGGGGTCGAGGGGTTTGGGGGTTTAGGGCTTAGGGGTTTAGGGTTTGGGGTTTCGGCTTTGGGGTTTGGGGTTTAGGGTGTTGGGCTTGGGGTTTGGGGTTTGGCGGGTTTAGGGTTTAGCGTGTAGGGTTTAGGGTTTAGGGCCTTAACACCCTGAAGCTCTAAAACCCAAAAGCCCTAACAACCCCAATGCCCTCTCTATGGCAAAAGCACACCTAAACCCTAAACCCTAAACCCTAAACCCTAAACCCTAAACCCTAAACCCTAAAACTTAAACCCTAAACCCTAAACCCTAAACCCTAAACCCTAAACCTTAAACCCTAAGCCCTAAGCCCTAAACCCTAAACCTGAACCCCTAAACCCTAAACCCTAAACCCTAAACCCTAAACCCTAAACCCTAAACCCTAAACCCTAAACCCTAAACCCTAAACCCTAAACCCTAAACCCTAAACCCTAAACCCTAAACCCTAAACCCATTCGTGGGCAAGGCCCAAATGTTCGTGGGCAAGGCCCAAATATTCGTGGGCAAGGCCCAAATATTCGTGGGCAAGGCCCAAATATTCGTGGGCAAGGCCCAAATATTCGTGGGCAAGGCCCAAATATTCGTGGGCAAGGCCCAAATATTCGTGGGCAAGGCCCAAATATTCGTGGGCAAGGCCCAAGTATTCGTGGGCAAGGCCCAAATATTCGTGGGCAAGGCCCAAGTATTCGTGGGCAAGGCCCAAAAATTCGTGGGCAAGGCCCAAGGCCCACAATGCCCTTGAGACCCTAAACCGTTGAGCCCCTAAACCCTTGAGACCCTAAACACTTGAGACCCTAATAGGGTTTCAGGGCCTCAAGGCCTGGCGTTTAGGGTTTCAGGGCCTCAAGGGTGGCCCCAAGGCATGGCGTTTAGGGTTTCAAGGCCTCAGGGCCTGTGTTTAGGGTTTCAGGGCCTCAGGGCCTGTGTTTAGGGTTCCAGGGCCCAGCGTTTAGGGTTTCAAGGCTTCAGGGCCTGTGTTTAGGGTTTCAGGGCCTCAGGGCCTGTGTTTAGGGTTTCAGGGCCCAGCGTTTAGGGTTTCAAGGCCTCAAAGCCTGTGTTTAGGGGTTTCAGGGCCTCAGGGCCTGTGTTTAGGGTTCCAGGGCCCAGCGTTCAGGGTTTCAAGGCTTCAGGGCCTGTGTTTAGGGTTTCAGGGCCTCAGGGCCTGTGTTTAGGGTTTCAGGGCCCAGCGTTTAGGGTTTCAAGGCCTCAGGGCCTGTGTTTAGGGTTTCAGGGCCTCAGGGCCTGTGTTTAGGGTTTCAGGGCCCAGCGTTTAGGGTTTCAAGGCCTCAGGGCCTGTGTTTAGGGTTTCAGGGCCTCAGGGCCTGTGTTTAGGGTTTTCAGGGCCCAGCGTTTAGGGTTTCAAGGCCTCAGGGCCTGTGTTTAGGGTTTCAGGGCCTCAGGGCCTGTGTTTAGGGTTTCAGGGCCCAGCGTTTAGGGTTTCAAGGCTTCAGGGCCTGTGTTTAGGGTTTCAGGGCCTCAGGGCCTGTGTTTAGGGTTTCAGGGCCCAGCGTTTAGGGTTTCAAGGCCTCAGGGCCTGTGTTTAGGGTTTCAGGGCCTCAGGGCCTGTGTTTAGGGTTTCAGGGCCCAGCGTTTAGGGTTTCAAGGCCTCAAAGCCTGTGTTTAGGGTTTCAGAGCCTCAGGGCCTGTGTTTAGGGTTTCAGGGCCCAGCGTCCAAGGCTTCAGCCTGTGTTAGGGTTTCAGCGTGTTTAGGGTTTCAAGGGGCCTGTGTTTAGGGTTTCAGGGCCTCAGGGCCTGTGTTTAGGGTTTCAGGGCCCAGCGTTTAGGGTTTCAAGGCCTCAGGGCCTGTGTTTAGGGTTTCAGGGCCTCAGGGCCTGTGTTTAGGGTTTCAGGGCCCAGCGTTTAGGGTTTCAAGGCCTCAAAGCCCTGTGTTTAGGGTTTCAGGGTCTCAGGGCCTGTGTTTAGGGTTTCAGGGCCCAGCGTTTTAGGGTTTCAAGGCCTCAGGGCCTGTTGTTTTTAGGGTTTCAGGGCCTCAGGGCCTGTGTTTAGGGTTTCAGGGCCCAGCGTTTAGGGTTTCAAGGCCTCAGGGCCTGTGTTTAGGGTTTCAGGGCCTCAGGGCCTGTGTTTAGGGTTTCAGGGCCCAGCGTTTAGGGTTTCAAGGCCCTCAGGGCCTGTGTTTAGGGTTTCAGGGCCTCAGGGCCTGTGTTTAGGGTTTCAGGGCCCAGCGTTTAGGGTTTCAAGGCCTCAAGCCTGTGTTTAGGGTTTCAGGGCCTCAGGCTCAGGCCTGTGTTTAGGGTTTCAGGGGGCCTGTGTAGGGTTTCCCAGCGTTTGGGGTTTCAAGGCCTCAAAGCCTGTGTTTAGGGTTTCAGGGCCTCAGGGCCTGTGTTTAGGGTTTCAGGGCCCAGCGTTTAGGGTTTCAAGGCCTCAGGGCCTGTGTTTAGGGTTTCAGGGCCTCAGGGCCTGTGTTTAGGGTTTCAGGGCCCAGCGTTTAGGGTTTCAAGGCCT